GAATGAGAATTTCAGGACTTTTAGGGCCAACCATCTCCTGTCGTTGGTGAATATTTCAAGTCGGTGCTTGTCTCGATTAGAATTGGGAAATTTTTTAAAGAACAGCGCGTGATTGTAAGAAAACGTTCATTTCAAGCCATCATTCACTTCAATGGCAAAAATCAAACCTGAGCGCAAATTGAACGATAATTTCAGGACTTTTAGGGCCAACCATCTTCTATAGTTGGTGAATATTTCAAGTCGCTGCTTAGTCTCGATTAGAAGTGGAAGTTTTTTAAAGAACAGCGCGTGATTGTGAAAAAACGCTCATTTCAAGCCATCATTCACTTCAATGGCAAAAATCAAGTCTGAGCGCAAACTGAATGAGAATTTCAGCACTTTTAGGGCCAATCATCTTCTGTCGTTGGTGAATATTCCAAGTCGCTGCTTGGTCTCGATTAGAAATGGGAATTTTTTAAAAAACAGCGCGTGGTTGTGAAAAAAACGCTCATTTCAAGCCATCAGTCACTTCAAAGGCAAAAATCAAGCTTAAGGGCAAATTGAATGAGAATTTCAGGACTTTTAGGGCCAACCATCTTCTGTCGTTAGTGAATATTTCAAGTCGCTGCTTGGTCTCGATTAGAAATGTGAATTTTTTAAAGAACAGCGCGTTGTTGTGAAAAAACGCTCATTTCAAGCCATCATTCACTTCAATGGCAAAAATCAAGCCTGAGCGCAAGTTGAATAACACCTTCCTCTAATAATAAGAGGAAGGTGTCACACTCTTAACCACGTGAAATGACGCGAAAAAACCTGAATTTAAACTTTATTTTACAAAAATGCAAACACTGCTCTCATGCCTCCTCAACAATCCCCTTCATGTACCGCTCAGTGGTCAGCTCAGTGCCGTCCACCACCTCGTAGCCCCTCTCCAGCTCCGTCTCCCCCACATCTCCGTCGCTGCGCCTCTTCAGCTCCGTCTCCCCCACATCTCCGTCGCTGCGCCTCTTCAGCTCCGTCTGCTCCCGCTCGACGTCAATCCTTCCGAACCCGGTCTGCACCAAATGCTTCAACGTCTGCAGGTTCCCGTTGCGCGCCTGCCGCTTCCTCGCTAGGATTTCAGCGTTCTTCAAAAAATCCTCCTGCTGTTCAAAGCCGTGCAAGTGCTTGATGCTGAAGTCCACATTGTAGGGGATCTCATTGGTCTCCTGAACCGGCACACCGTCGATCTGATTGGCCGGCTTGTAGGTCTTCACCTTCGAGTGGCCCTGGATGATGAGGTAGAGCGGCCCTTTCATTGGCTCGATCGGCTGCTTGTAGTGTTTGAACAAGGGATCGGTGGTGAGGGTTTGCATGGTGGTCACTTCCGTTGTGGATGCATCCGGAAAGTCCTCCGGAGTAATTGTGCTGATCGGTTCCATGGTGGTTGGCTCCGGAGAGGTTGGGAGGGACTTAGGGGTCGTCCTGGGCAAATCCTTCTCCAACAGCCTCACTACTGGGTTGGTGGATTGCACGTAAACTGGACTGTGGGTGACTGGTGGGGGCTGCAGGGTTTCCATATCGCGGATCATCTGCATTGAATTGTACTCGCCAGTCGCCCTAAAGGGCATTGGATGGACGTTGTTGATCTCCACCCCCATATGGTCCATCTGGGCCTGCGGCTTCTCAATTTTCACGTAACTGTCCGCAATGTCGTTGTCGTCGCTCACATGCCCCTTGTAGGTCATGTGGGTGTCCGCCAAAGGGGGCGGAGTCACATAGTTGATGTTCTGATTGCTCCCCGACGCCTCCAGGATTTTGTTCGAGTAATTCTGAGGCGCAAACTGGATTCTCATGAACGACTTGGGCGGCGCCAGCATGAAGCTTGCCTCAGTAGTTGCAGGCAATTCCCAGCTGATCGAGGGCACAGCCTCAAAGTCCTTCAAGCCCCCATGGCTGCTCGACTGATAGACCAGGTTGGATTCTTCCACGGTTACTCCGGAGCCTCCCTGCGGGAGTGGGGTGCTGAAGTGGGGTCGTTGCGTCATGGGGCTGGTGAGTGCGTGCTGATCCTTTGGAGGCGGCATCAGAACAGTGTAGGGCACTTTGGAGAACAACGTCCTGTCCAGGACCTGATTGGCCAACGACACCAGGTTGGGAACAATCTGGGAAGTCATGGAAGGGAAGTAGTTGGGGCGCGCGATTCGCTGGTTGGGGCTGTAGAACTCATGGTACGAGTCTCTTCGGTCGATGGCCTGCTGGTTGAACCCGGACGGGACGGCAGGTTTCTTCGAAGCAACGCCCAGCAGGAGAATTTCGCTCTTGTGGCTGGGATCGCGACTAGAGCTGGACGCGTCCTGGGGATGAGGCTCAGTGTCCACCCAATAGTGCACCCTGTCCAGGGCAGGCGGCACGTAGTCGAATGTTGGGTCATTCTTCAGCGGGTCTCCTCTGCCCAACGGCTTCCATTGGTTGTAGTCCATGCGAGGCGAAAAAAGGCCTTTTTGAGCTGGAAAGTTTCAAGGGTGGATCAAAGGGGATTTTCGAAACTCGGCTGTTTTACCGTTTCGGTTGCGAGCGGATTCCTCTTCGAAGTTGGCGGCTGATGCCACTTGGGCCAACAGCAGCAGGCAGCTGAGCGGCTTCCATCTGCTTCTTTGTCTCATGTCTGGAAAAAATTGAGAACCTTTACATCGAAATGGTTGCTTGGCTAATTGGATGGTGAAAAATCAGGTCTTAGTGTGATTTGAATGATATTTTCACGGCTTTCAGATCCAATTGTCCTCTATTGATCGGCGAAATTTCAAGTCGATCCATAATCGCGATAGGAAGTTGTGATTTTTTAAAGAAGATCGGGCATTACGAAAAACCATTCATTTTTAGTCCTTCCTTGACTTAGTTGGTAGAGATCAAGCCTAAGCACGAATTGACTGAAAACCTGAACCAGAATTTCAGGACTTTTAGGACCAACCATCTTCTGTCGTTGGCAAATATTTCAAGTCGCTGCTTGGTCTCGATTAGAAATGGGAATTTTTTAAAGATCAGCGTGTGATTGTGAAAAAACGCTCATTTCAAGCCCTCATTCACTTCAATGCCAAAAATCAAGCCTGAGGGCAAATTGAATGATAATTTCAGCACTTTTAGGGCCAACCATCTTCTGTCGTTGGTAAATATTTCAAGTCGCTGCTTGGTCTCGATTAGAAATGGGAATTTTTTAAAGAACAGCGCGTGATTGTGAAAAGATTCTCATTTCATGCCCTCATTCACTTCAATGGCAAAAATCAAGCCTGATCGTAAATTGAATGATAATTTCAGCACTTTTAGGGCCAACCATCTTCTGTCGTTGGCAAATATTTCAAGTCGCTGCTTGGTCTCGATTAGAAATGGCAATTTTTTAAAGAACAGCGCGTGATTGTGAAAAAACGCCCATTTCAAGCCATCATTCACTTCAATGGCAAAAATCAAGCTTGAGGGCAAATTGAATGAGAATTTCAGCACTTTTAGGGCCAACCATCTTCTGTCGTTGGTAAATATTTCAAGTCGCTGCTTGGTCTCGATCAGAAGCAGAAA